TTGGGAAAAGTCCTGATCTCAGGTCTGGGTTATATGCAAAGAAGATAGGAACAATGTTGTCTCAGATACCTAGTTTGTATGGGTAGAGTAGGATTTGAGTTTGAATGGACTCATTTAACCTGTTCACCTATAAGTGAGAACGTTTCTGTATGGCCTCTGATTGCACAAATGGATCCATTCTTGGAAATATGGGAATAGGGCGCAGTCATCCAAGAAAGTTATTTGAACTCTGACTGGGAGATAAGGAAAGGAAACAGTTACCTGGTAAGTTCAAAGATTTTTAAACTATTTTGCCTATAGATACTACCTACCTCACCTTCCTTCCTTCCTTCCTTCCTTCCTTCCTTCCTTCCTTCCTTCCTTCCTTCCTTCTTTCTCTCTTTCTTTCTTTCTTTCTTTCTTTCTTTCTTTCTTTCTTTCTTTCTTTTCTTTCTTCTTTCTTTCTCCTTTTTTTTTGGAGAGAGGGTGTACTTTGCTAACCCCAACATTCTATGTATATGTGAGTTTTTCTTATTAACAATTAAATTAAATAATTCAACAAACATTTATCAAGTTCCTATCATGTGCCAGGCACTGTGGTTGGTTCTAGGTATACAAAACCAAAACAGTCCCTGCCTTTGATGAACATACAAGAGTTTTGTTGCTGTCTTTGTTACTGTTACAAAGTAAGCAAATGCAGCAGGAAAATTATTTAGGTAAAGACTCTGTGATGCTGTGCACAGAATGCTGGGCCAGAAGTCAGGAAGACTCAACTTCATGAGTTTAAATTGGGCCTCAGACACTTACTAGATGTGTGAACTCTGGGCAAGTCACTTAATCCTATTTTCCTCCATTCATAATCTGTAAAATGAGCTGGAAAAGGAAATGGCAAATAATACCAGTATGTATGACAAAAAAAAAACCCAAATGGGGTTATGGAGAGTTGGACACATCTGAAAAACCAAGAAGACTTTAACAACAATGATTTGTTAGACTAGATCCTTCTGCTAATGACTTGATTCTTTGGGCATCCATTCAGATCTATCACCTTCTGAAATTTAAATGTGTACATGTGTATGCTATATGGTAGAAAACCAATATGTGCACAAATAAATAAGTACAAAATTCACAAAAAAAAATGCAAAGAAATTTTGATGTGAGGGAGCAATAACAATTGGAGGACTTAGGAAAGGCCTCTCGAAAAAAGAAACACTTTCAGGGCAACTTTTACTATTATCCCCTTTTCTCCTTCTCTTGTTATACTCCATTTATTTCTTCTATATGCCCTAGATACCCTAGATGCCGTACTGCCCCTTTATTGCTTCTGCAATTTCTATCATGTCTCTAGTTATCCAGTCCTGGTCACTGAGAATATTTACTCTTCATTTTTATATATTCCCTCTTTCTCCATTATTTCTTCTATTTTATGACCTCAGTACAAATCTCTTCTGGCATGCCAATTAATTATTTTTATTAGCCAATTGTGTTAAAAGAATGGAGGGTAGAGAGCACCTTTTCAATTAGAGTAGCTTACTAAGGTAATGATCAGGCTCTGGTTATTCTAATAGAGAGGAATGATTTCAATTACGGGAATTCCAAAATTGGTTGAAGTAAAAGTTGGGAAAATGGTAGGTCAATGGAAGACAAATATGGGAAAATGAAGCTTTTGGGTGACCTTCAGATAATTTATCAGAGGAATCTTCATTTACACATCATCCAAAGTAGAATTTATGTGTTGCTAGCAATGTGACCATGTATTTTTGGAAGATTCTTCACAATTTAATTCCTGTGACATGATGAGGCTATTACGCCTTCATATAACATTATTGTCTTCCTATACATCAAATTTAAAGGTTAGGGATAAATCTTAAGAAGCTAAATATTGATATTTCTGGAAACATTTTACTTTCCCTTAGTAACTCATTGGGACTGGAAGCTACAGATTTATCATAATCTTACTTTTGAAACAAGGATCATAAGAACTCAGAGATGGAAGAGATCTTAGATCTGGTTCAGTGGTTCTAAACTTAGGACCCATGAAATTAGATGGATAATTAGAAAGATAGATGATAGATAATAGATTGATGTTTAATAGAGAGATAGAAGAATAGATGCTAGATGATTGATGATAGGTTGATAGATAAATTAGATTATGGGATAGGTAGCTAGCTAGGTAGAATGAATAACTGTATTTCAATAATATTGGTTTCAGTGGGTTAAGAAATCTTGACCTAGTCCAATGCCCTCACTTGCAGGTAGGGGTGTGGACTGAGTCTGAGAGGTTAAATGACTAGGAGAAGGGAAGGAACTACTAGTAGGGGGGACCAGGCGGATCTCCTGCACAAGACAGGATTTGAGTGCTGAAGGAAATCAGAGAAACTTTGAAGTAGAGGTTATTCTTACCCAAAATCTTAAGTCTTAACACTCATCAAATGCAAGGTTATTATATTTGTTTGCTGCTGTAAGTTATATGTCTAGTATGTTCCATTGATATAACTTTCTGTTTCTTAACCAGTACCAGATAGTTTTGAGAATCATTGCTTTATAATATAGTTTAATATCTGGTGCTGCTAAACCTCTTTCTTTTACGTTTTCCCCCCCATTAGTTCCTTTGATATTCTTGACTTTTTGTTCTTCCAAATGAATTTCATTACTTTTTCTAATTCAGTAAATTTTTTTTTTTGGTAATTTAAGTGGGATGGCATTGAATATACAAATTAGCTCAGGTTAAATTGCTATTTTTATTATATTGCTCTGCCTACCCATGACCAATTAATATTTCTCCAATTATTTAAATCTGATTATATTTGTATAAAAAGTTTATATACATGTATACACATATATACACATACATATACAAATACATACATACACACATACACATGCACATACATATACATACATTATATATAATTTTGTTTAAATACTTCCTGGGCTGTTTTAGCAGGTGTACTCCCAGGTATTTTATACTGTCTAGAGTTATTTTAAATGGGATATATTTTAGTCTCTTTTTGCAGTGTTTTGTTTATGATATATAGGAATGGTGATGATTTATGCAGATTTATTTTGTATCTTGCTACTTTGCTAAAATTATTAATTGTTCCAACTAATTTTTTAGTCCAGTCTTCGGAATTTTCCAAGTATATCATCATATCATCTGCAAAAAGAGTTAGTTTTATTACCTCATTCCCTATTCTGATTCCTTCTATTTCTTATTCTTCTCTTATTACTATTGCTAGGCTTTCTAGTACAATATAGAATAATATTATGTTATTGAAATGCTTGTTGTATTATGTAAATTAAACATAAAACCTTTTTAAAAGAAGTGAAAGGAAAAAGAGGGAGCAATGCAGTTATGAGAAACAGCTAGCCAGCGAGAAGATCTTTATCTTTCCAGAGTATAATCCTGATATTTTTGCCAAAAAGCAATATTTGTCTTAACTCATTTTCTTGCTCCTCTCTTTTCTCTTATCCCACTATATCTTTCTTTTCTGAGATGTGATGATGAGAGTTTTCCATCACAAAAGACATGTGGCTATCTAAAAGAGAAATGAACTTTTATTTTGATTCCCATACTCTTTTTAATGTCTGATATTTTGTTGTCCTTTTTGAGCTAAAGTCTTTAGTTACACCATTAATGAAAGTGAAACCGTGGTAACTATAGTCCACCATACAACCTCAGATTTCTGACTCATAGGTTATGCACTGGGAGGGATCCGCACTATAAAAACATTTTTTTCAAATTCAAGAATTTAACACCAGGAAATGTTTCTACTTCAATTGTCATTCTCTATACTTTCCTGAAAGTCACATAATACATAAACACAGGAATCATTTATCGAGGCAAATGATCAGTGTCTATTTCATTAACAAATGTGTGCATTTGTGTGTGCATACATATATGACATGAATTTTTGGTATATTAGGAATATCTTCATTCAGTTATAGTTAGAAAGATATGGTCTTAATTCAAATATAATTTAAAAAGACAAAAGCAGCTCAAGATTCCTGAACTTCTTTTCTCTTTCTCTACCACACATAATCATTTGTGCTGACTTTAAGTGAAAGATCAGTCATTTCAATAGGTCAATGTACTTTTAACAACCATGTTTACTCAGCTTCGGAGAAAGGCAAAAGTTTTGTGATTCAAATGAGAAATCCACAAAATGATATATTAAAATTTTATACTTTCTAAGGCAGGTAAGAACATTTCCAGAAAGAGCAAGTTTCAAATTTGTTCCCTATTAGAATGACTTCTGTGAGAATAGAAATATTTTCCCATCAAGCCTATTAATAGATAATAGAAAGACTTTGCTTTTCTCACCGACAAAAAGTTTTATTTTGCAATGTTTTATAGTTGAAAGAGACCAATAGGCATTTTTCCCCACTAATAACTATACCCCAAATTAATGACACTTTTGTGAATGTTTACTAATCTATCCGTATATATGTAAATATGATATAGATAGCACATGTAATATGTATCTCCATTGTCTTTATTTTACTTCTTTGGCTAAGCATTTGGGAAAACAGTAAGCCTGTCATTGTATTTCACCATTTAGTTATAAACTTTCTGTACTCTACTTTTGCAAACCAGTAGAACTTACTGATTTAATCTAAATAAATAGTTATATCACATTGTAAGCTTAACATTTTATAAGATTGAATAAAAAGATCAAAGATTCTTAAAATATATTTAGAAATAGTAAATATCTTACTATTCTTTGTTTTGCCTTAATCAATGAGTGAAATTTAAGAAAGCAAGAGAAGAAAAAAAGTAATAAGCCTAGAACAAATAAAAAGATTGGTAACTTCCATCTACAAAACTCTCTCAGCAGTCTAATATACAAAATAATAAATAATACAAATACATGACATTAAAATAGTATTTTATTTTAACAATGACTATATTTACTATAATGCCAAATCTGTATTCTCAATGGAATATCTGCCCACATATCTATTGAAATACCCCCTGGAAAAACTGTAGAAATCACTTTTGAAGAAGAGATTATCCTTACCTTAGCCGTTCTCTGTGATCATTTGAAAATGACTAATGTTAGCATAGGTCTTTTATTTTCACCCAAGTAAATCTCTGGTTGTCACTAACAATGATGTGACAATATAGCTTTTTTTTTTTGTAGCAGGATAGGGTGTGTCTTTGGACAGTTGTTATGTAACTTAAGAATATAATTTCCAAAGAACTGCTGTATAATTTCTAGGGTATGAAGTCTTTAGTTAATAACTTTCATTTCAAAATAAATAGTCACTATTTAAATATATTTATGAAATTAATTTCTGAGAGGAATACTTCAGAATAATCTTAAAGCTCAGATTTAATTCAATTTTTAAAGATCATATATTTCATCTCCACTCACTTTTTAAACAATTGATTTTAGAAGAAATGTAATTAAAATATAAACACTTCTGGGTAAATGATAAGTGTTTTATCTCAGGTTCAGGTAAAATGTAATAATAATAAAACCCTGAAAACAACAATGGTGTTATGTTCTCAGTTAAATAGAATAGTCTGATGGAGGGTGAAATTATGAAGGAAGTGAGATGAACACTAAAAAAAAAAGAGTAGACTTTCCCGGAAGCTAGTGGGTTCTTGACCACTAGAATTCTCTTAATAAATTTAAAAAAGCAACTACAGCAACTGGAATGAGGACTCTTATAAGTCTGAGGAACTTTAAAATGAGGAGATGTTATCAGTTTCTCTTATCCATTTCAATTCCTTTGTGTGTTGGTAAATGCCATTTCAAATGAGTGATTATGTGATAACCAAGGTTGCCACACTCAGGGTGGGGAGTAGGGAAGGAAACTTTGGTCCTTAAAACTGGTCACTATAGCATAAATGTAGCTTGCCTGGTTATAGTACAGATAAAGAAACACGGATTTTGATTTATCAACATGAGATTAAAGTGAGCCGTCACTGAAGAGACCTTATTTTGAACTACTGGAGTAAATGAGTTTAGGTCACACAGAACTCACAGCTCAGAAGAGCTAATCTCAGAAGAGACTTTTGTTCAGGTCCAGGAAGAGGTCTCAGAGGTTGTGCTGCTACATGCTTCTTAGGGAACAGACTAGAGGAAGTAAAATCATTAACTTTGCTAATTGGAAGAGATGACTGGAAAAAGAAAGTTTTTGCCTTTATTTTTTTTTCTTTTGGCATTTCTTTTTTTTTGTTTTTCCTTCTTTTTTTTTAAATTTTATTAATTTATTTTGATTTATCAGCAATCACTTCCATATGCTTTTGAGTTGAAAATTTTTCTCCCCCTTCCTTACCCAAGATGGCACGCAATCTCATATAGGCTTTACATTTACATTCCTATTAAACGTATTTTCACATTAGTGAAGTTGTAAGTAAAAATTAAAACCAATAGGAGGAACCATCAGAAAGATGAAACAAAACTGAACAGAAGGTAAAAATAAGTGATAGCGATTCGACTTCCATAGTTCTTTCTTTGGATGTGGACAGCATTTTCCATCCCGAGGCTTCTGGAGATGTCTTAGATCCTTGTAATGCTGAGAAGGGTTCAGTTTAACGGTATTAGTCATCGCATAACATGGCTGTTATTGTGCACAAAGTCCCCTTGGTTCTGCTCACTTCACTCAGCATCAGACCATATAAGTCTTTCCATGTTTTTCTGAAGTCAGCCTATTCATCATTTCTTATAGCACAATAGTATTCCATTACATTCATATACCACAACTTGCTTAGCCATTCCCCAATTGATGGGCATCCTCTCAATTTCCAATTCTTTGCCACCACAAAAAGAGCTGCTACGAATATTTTTGTACATGTGGGTCCTTTTCCCATTTGTTTGATCTTCTTTTGGCATTTCTGCACGAGATGGGAATCTCTTATAAGCCTAACCAGGAAAGTAGAACTAGAAAAATTCTGCAGATGCCAGGCTTAGGTTTTCTGCTTTTGCTAATGCTGACCAAGGTAGAGAAGACCTGGAAAACCTCTGCAGATCTCAGATTTAGAGTTTTTGCCTTCATTGAGAGAGTGTAATACTACCTTTCCAGGGCAGAAAAGGAACAAACTGAGTGGAACATACAGGCAAGAAATAATTCACTCAGCAGGAGAGAAGTGAGGCCCACATTAGAAGAGGAGGATCCTTTCATCAGTGTTATTGAACAGAGGGTTTACAATCCAGATTTGTTAGTTACCCTCCTCCTGAAAACCCTATTTTTATGTAGGTCCAAGCCCACTGTCCCCCACTGGACAGTGTGCATTGGTAAGAGAGTGTGCCCCAAGCATATGGATGAGAAATCACACAGTTGTGGTTGCTGCTGTTGCTTTGCCCTTTGTTGAGTAACTTTTTACCACCTAATCTAAAGATTTTTGGGTCACATGACCAGCAATATATATGACTGAATATTTTCTACAATCCCTATTAAATAATCTCTCTCTCTCTCTCTCTCTCTCTCTCTCTCTCTCTCTCTCTCTCAGAAGAAGAAGAAGAAGGAAAAGGAGGAGGAAGAGAAGGAGGAAGAGAAAGAAGAGGATGAGGAGGAGAAGGAGGAGGGTTTATGCACAAGAATTAGAGCAATTACAATAGTCTCCACAGGACAGGAAATCAAGAGTCCAACAAGATAGTCAGTTTGTAAATTGAAAGTGAAGAGAACAGGTTTTTAACAACCTTCTCCGATCAGCCTCCACACTCCAATTGGGTATCAAATTGATTCAGGAATCTTCCTACTGCTCCAGTCCCCTCTATTACATCAACATTTTTTTTTTGCAATAAATGACTATGTCAGTCACCTGTGGAGGAGAGAGGTACAAAAGCAGAGGGTCTCACTCTACTTGGGATGGTCTACACAGATCAGGGAAGCTTAAAGGAGTAGAACATTTGCCTGCCAAACCTACTTTTTCCTGGGCTCAGCCAAAAACAAATAAAATAAATGAACAAAACCCAGCAGACACTGACTTAGCTCAGTCAGAGAACTAAAAATGAAAAGAACTGGAGAAGAGGGCCAGGGTACTTGGCAGCACTAGGTCTAAAAGAAAGGGGATGGGTGCTCAGCTGGGACAAGTCCTGTTTCTTCAGAAGTTATTGGGGTAAGGATCATGGCTAGTGAAAAATGAATGTGGGAGTAAGTTAAGACAATTTTGAGGCAAACTCACCTGGGTAAAATTGGTGGTAAATCTACCATCAAAGAAGAAAGTGTCAGAAAGCATGTCACTCCTCTCCCCTCCCCCCAAGTTCACTTAGGGATCAAAACCAGTGAAAAGTGAATTCCCTAATGCAGGAGTAAGCTGTGATATATGAGTGGAATGGATGATGATGATGATGATGATGATGATGATGATGATGATGATGATGATGGTGATGATGATAATCATCATGATGATTTAAATCTACCTAGGTAAACCTGGGAGTAATCTAAAACAAAAATTAAGAGAGTAGATGACAGAGGAGTATAAAGGAAACAGCCTAAAATCATCTAAACTATCAGGAGGAAGGAAAACTCAGTTAAGAACACAGAACATAAGCAGATAAATCAGCAGGAAAGATATTAAAATTGGAAAGGAAGATGAGTAATAAAATTTCTACAGGACTACAAATATCTCAAAAGAAATATTACAAAAAAAAGACAATTGAAGCAATATTTAAGGAGACATAGAAGCCTGTGAATTCACAGGAATAACAACAATATGTTCCAGAGACAAGTAAGAACATTGAGAGAAATATTTAAGCAAGAACAAATGTTAGAATTCATAGTCTTCACAGGAAAATAATTAGCATGATAGAAAAATTTGAATCTATAATGGTAAGTCTCTCCAAAGAAGCAAAAAAGAAAACATTAGCAATACAAATAGACTAAAGTGAAGAACAGTTTGGAAGAAGAGAAATGATCATATTAAACATATAATCTCTATATAAGCAAAACATTCATTTTTAAGACAGGCAAAGGAGAGAGAGTATGCCTAGCCTCACAGATGATAACAAGTCAAAAAAATCTTAATACCATAATGGAAGAAGTAATGCAAGAAAACTGTCCAGAATTTCTGAGCAACCTTCTCAATACAGAAAACAAAACAACTGAAAAAATCCACAGGTCATGTAGAAAAAACAAAATAAAATTACAACAAACTATACTTCAAACTCCAATGATACAATGATAAAACTATTACAATGACAAATTCTGCCAATGATCAGGAGAAAGACCTTCAAAAATAAATTAATAGGAAGTGAAATAACACAAGACAATTCTGTACCTGCAAGAAACTCCAGAAGGGAATAGAATAATATATTTTAAAAAAGCAAATGAGCTCAAGATTCAACCCAAGGTGGCATACCTAGCAAACCTGAAAAAATGAAAAATGTTAGAAAGTTAATGAATAATCCTAATTAAATAGAAAAGAGGAGATAACAAATATTAGAGGAGTAATGGATAGATTGGAAACTCCAAAGTCTACAAAAGTCATAAAATTAAAATGTCTCTTTAAAAAGGCTAATAAAACTTTAGCTAACATGATTTAAAAGATTGGGAAAGACATAAAATAAACAAGGTGAAATTACAAAAAAATAATTTGAAGAAAATAAATTAATTGTCATGCCTTATAGTTTTATTTTAACAAAACTGAGAACCCAAAAGAAAAGGCTTACTTTTAAAAGTATAAAATGAAAAATAAATAGAAGCTGTAGATTGAGCTCCTAAATAGCAACTGTGAACCTTTAGGAGCAATTACTTAAGAAAAAAACACCATATTTGATGCTAACTGCTTGGAAAACTGTAAAGCAGTCTGGGAGAAATTTGGCTTGCACCAACATATTGTACTGTAATCTACAAAAAATTCCAAGTGGATATGTAATCTGAATATTGAAAATGATACCATTAAAAAAAAGAATTAGAAGAGAAGCAAAACATGCTGCTCATATAAAAAGGTAGGAGATCTCTTCTTATCTGCATGAGATGAAGGCAATTATGAAAGCTAAAATAATTCATTTTGACTGTATGAAACAGAAGCTTTTGAAACAAATTGAAAATAATTACAAATTATTAACAATTATATGAAAGAATGCTCTAAATCATTATTAATGAGAAAAATGAACATTAAAAGAACCCTGAAAAACCTCCCAC